ATTGACCGATTATATCCGACATATGTTCACTACGGAAAGTCCAAGGGGAAACCTACTTATCCAGATGCAATTGATTATTGCTTGTAAAGTACACACTCATCCGTGCATTCCTTATGTTATAACCATTCCCCATTAATGTGGGGGATTGTTGGGTATGTAGCAAGAGTTAATGGGAAATGGAGGGAAGATGAAAAGAGAGGAACTTGAAAAGTTGGGAACTTGAAGAGTTGAGAACTTGAAAAGTCCTCTTATGCTTTATTGAAAAGGCATTTGTCCCTCATCGGTAGTGGAAAAAAAAATAGGAGAGTTTAAATATAGAAACACTCCTATTAATTGTTAAAAGGGTTGGAAAGAGGGACCCCCCTCGCGCCGTCGTTGTCGTTGCTCGGCTTGGCTTTGGCTTTGGAAAATGATCGATCGAGAGATTATTTTTTGGACAAAGTCTGTTTTAATTATTTTAGTTAATTATTTATTTAATTAAATTAAATTAAATTAAATGGCCAACATTTTAATTAGTTAATTAACCGAAGCGTTTCAATTAATTAGTTAATTGACCCGACCCGACTCGGATCCACGCGCGACCCGTTTTATTTAAATCTTTCCCATTTTATTTGAATTTCCCGAATTGGAAGTGACTATTCTGAAAGGTTGCAACTTTCAGAGAGAGCCATGACCATTTGAAAGGTTGCAAACTTTCATGAATGGTCGTGTGGATTTTGAAAGGATTGCAACCCTTCGGAACCAGTTCCTCTTGCCTATAAATACATTGATTCCTCAAACTTTTTCCTTACGAATTTTCTAATTTCTTCTTCTGCACAAAATTTCTTCGTGTACTTTACTGCTGTTGAGTGGTTCGCTGACACCAGAGTTTTTGGATATCAATACACTAGTGATTGAGATCATTCTATCTTGGGAGGACATATTCCAAATCAAACCTCGGATACTAGAGGGGAATAATATCATTAAGGGGACACTGTACATTCAGTGGTCTTGATCTTTTTCTGATTCTTTTTTTCCAGATTGTGGTACGTTTTTCCAAATTTTAGTTTTGTCAATTAATTTCTGTTCATCTATTCTTACTGGTTTATTAAACTTTGGTTACTTCGTGTTTCTGAACAAGTTTATTGAAATCAGTAATTCTAGTTTTTAAACACAGATTGCTATCAGTCATCCCTTAGTATTAAAGTTTGCTCTGATATTATATTGTCACGAACTTAGACTTTTACTAAGTATATCTATGGTACTTGACAACTCGCTCACGAATCTTTCACAATCTTGCAAAACTCAAGTCATTTTAAACTAGATCACTAAGGGAATGTTGAATTAAAGAAAGACACAAGAGAATTGCGTAAGAAAGTTTTTATATTGCTCAAGACTCGGAAGATTTGCTTGATGATTTTACAAATGGATGTCCCTCTATTTATTCTACTCACTTAGGGGCTAATATGTAGATAATAATAGTTAAAACAAGTCCTTGCATAGTTTCAAATAATTATTTTTAGAATACTCTACACAACTAAAAAATTCCAAGAAAAATCCATAAAATTCTAACGCCTTAAAATAAATTCTTTATATATAGTGAGAGAATATTTTAGTAAGGACTATTCTTTTTCTGATAAGTCTTCCACATGAGTTACCTTATGTCATGTGGTGCCTAAAATGGTATAGTGACAGGCAGATCATCACACTTGTCTGATCAATAAAACATTTTATTCTTATTGATTTAGTGACTTGATAAATAATTAGACCGGTCACTGGTCAGATGTTCAAACTGTAAGCAATGACAAATCTTCTTATTCACATGTATACATTATTGATTTTGACCCTCCAGTGCAAATTTACGACAAAAAAGGATTAACCGTACCCAGGGGAGGAACTATAGCCATCCAGGGTGTTTAGTTCGAAAAATTATGTTGTATATATATGTCAAATTTTGTATTTAAAGGATATATATTTAAGTTGGACATTTTTAATAGAAGCTATGCCTTTGATGCAGGTGTAATGAATGTCCATTCAAATAAAAAAAATTCGAATTCGAATCCCAAATAGCACAATTCGCACCCATAGCTCCACATTTGTGAAAATAGAGTGAAACATCTGTTTTTAAAGATTCAACTTATTATTGTTTACAACCAGAGAAAACATAGTTGCAGAAGCAAAAAGGAAATTAAGAGAGAAATATAAGAAAAGAAACAAATTAAAAGGGAAGTTAGCACACTGCTACATAAATTACTTATACGTAGTACTAGCTAGCTGTTAAAACAAATTACACACTACACAAAACTTCCTATATATATATATTGCTATGAGTTAAAGGTTGATGGGATTTGTTTCCAAGTAAAGATTATGAATGGACCTATACTTTTTCTTCTTTGGCTTGAGAATGGAGTTTTGGTTCTTTCTCTTCTTCTCCTGATCGAGCTTCTCTGCTACTTTACTACTTTCCATGGCAATATTATTTTCTTCATCTTCGGTACTAGTGAGCTTCTCTGCTGCTGCCATGGACATCGTTTCGGCCTTCAATTCAACAATTTTACAACCAAACAACACTAATTCACACATTGAGAGAGACGGAGACGACCTCGCTCTCTCTTTCTCTCGTTAGGCGTTTCCAGCTTTGTAAATGTTTGGCTTTATATTCAAATCAAGACGTGTTTTGGGGACGAGTTACGTTGGGGCGAAGAAACTGCGGTGAAGGTAAGGGGAAGTTGCATTTTTTAATACATTTACTTTTATATTGTTTGATCTATCTTTGCCTATACGGAGCCGTGTGGAGATTTCATTTCATTAATAGAGAGACATAAATATTTAGTTTCAATTAAAATTGCAAATGTTTCAAAAAATACTCCTTTCATTCTTAATTTTAATTTTTATATTAATGGATAAGATACATAAATAAACGTAGTATGAAATATAGAATAAATAAATACTCCATCATTCTTAATTTTATTTTTGAGTGAATAAATAAATATAGAATGAAAGAATAATTATGTTTAAGGTACCATCTAGGTTGCGAGTCAGAAATTTTACTAAGGATGTCCAAGAATAACAATGTGTGACTGTCAAAATAAAATAATAAAAAAAAGCTATTTGAGATTCAAGCCCATAACTCCTTCCTTCAAATGAACATCCATTATCATTGCACCAATGATATAACTTTTGTCAAGGGTGTTTAATTTTAAATATATATAATTTAAATGTTGAATTTCACACACACATATATATATATATATATGCAATGTAATTTTTTCGACGAAGGGTGCCCCATTAGACACCTAGGGTGACTATATTTACGTCCCTGTAGGTTGCAATAGGTGAATAGTATCTGTTTTTAACCTTATTAAAAGTCTTAAATTTATTTCTTAATATTTAAATAAAATTATACGAAGGATTAGGGGTGTTCACGGTTTGGATAAAAACCGATCCAAACCGAAAAACCAAACCAAACCGATAAAATAAAACCGATTTTATTTGAATTTGGTTTGGTTTGGTTTTAGATTTTTGAAAACCGATAGTATTTGGTTTGGTTATGGTTTTATTCAAAAAAAACCGAAGAAATAACCGAACCGAACCGAACCGATGAATTATATACATATATTTTATTAATATACATACTTAATATATTATTTTTATAAACAATTTTAAAGATCTTATACATATTTTCATTAAAATTTCTTTATAATTTACTTATTGAAAGCAAAAATGCCCAAGATGAAACATTTATCTTATTGATTTCATGTATATGAGTGCTATGACAATTCTTTGTGGGACTGAAAATGTTATTGTCTCTTCCTTCTAGGCCAATATAGTGAATTTTAAAGCTTTATTGATAGTAAATTTAGTGATTGAAAGTTTAGTAATTTAAGTCATTCTAACTATTTTTCGTTTTGAATGGATTGTTATCACTTTTTTCACATTTTAAATGAATTGTTTCTTTTATTTTTGTGTATGGTTAATAACCGAATAACCGAACCAAACCAAACCGAAACCGATAATCACCAAACCGATAAATGTATATTATATTTGGTTTGGTTTGGTTTTGATAATTTTAAAACCGATTAAGTTGGTTTGGTTTTGATTTTGACCAATAACCGATCCAAACCAACCCGTGAACACCCCTAACCATATTATATCAATCTTGTTGATTTGTTTAGTTACCATATTCTTGATTGCAATACAAATGGTCAGTGAAATTTAAAAGATATTGTCATGAATTATACCGTTATCTTTAGTGATTGAAAGTTTACTAATTTAAGTCATTCTAACTATTTTTCGTTTTGAATGGATTGTTGTCACTTTTTTCACATTTTAAATGAATTGTTTCTTTTATTTTTGTGTATGGTTAATAACCGAATAACCGAACCAAACCAAACCGAAACCGATAATAACCAAACCGATAAATGTATATTGTATTTGGTTTGGTTTGGTTTTGATAATTTTAAAACCGATCAAGTTGGTTTGGTTTTGGTTTTGACCAATAACCGATCCAAACCAACCCGTGAACACCCCTACGAAGGATCAATGAATTTCGGATACTTAATTGCCTATATAAAAATTAAAAAGAAGTACTTGCTTTGGTTTAGTTAAAAAGAAGTTTTTTATTATAGGATTACTTGGTCGTCAAAGAAAATTATTAAATTAAAAATTAAAAAGAAGTAATATGAGGTTCAGTCCATGGGTATTTTTATGATTACTTGGTCATCAATCCCGCCGTATGTGATGCACTCAAGGGTTGCTTCTTTACCTAGTCGCCTGAATAGGTTCACGAAGTAAAATGACAATTTGACCCTCAAAGTTTGTAGGTCCTCTATTTTCTTGTTCTTTTTATTTAGGCATTATATATATATATATATATGTCAACTGAACTCTTAAACTTAATAAAACTATATGTTTTAAGCCCTTCTAGCCGTTGACCAAGCTTATATGACAACTTAATTATTGAGTTGGCATAAATGTGTGATGTCACGCGTAGAAGGAGCGTGAAAGATCAAATTTTAGACTAAAAGTAATTTATTTTTTTAAATACAATAAAAAGATCAAAAATACGAAAATTAATTTTTTTTTCCGGTTCTTTCTTCTTTTCCCACCCACCCCTCCCCATTTCTTTTTTTCTTTCTAATCTCAAACCCCCATTTCTCTTCTTTCTCCCCTTTCCAGCCCTTTCCAATTTCTTGTTTCTCTTTTTTCCCCACATTTTCTTTCTCCCAGGATTAGAAACGAAATTGTGTTGTTGTTTAGATCTGTATTTTCTTTTTATTTTTGGGGTAATTTATAACCCATAAAGTGATAAAGATTCAACAGTTTTAAAAGATGAAAAGTAATTGTTGAATGTCTTTGTGAAATTAGGTGAAATGTGTTATGTAAAATTGTGTACAAATATTAGAGTATATTGATTTATTTAATTGGTTATTCGTTAACATCAATTGAGAAAAGAGACTTATGGCAGTTCAAGTGGTAGATGTAAATGTTGGTAAAAGAAATACGATTAAAAGTTGTGAATGAAAGAAATTTCAAAATAAAATAAAATTAAATGATAATTGTTAGTTATTTAGGAATGTAATGATACTAGTGAGAATGGAAGGTTGTGGTGGTATCTCTAATGTAAAAAATATGGAGAGAGGTGAAGGGATGAAAGAGGAATGAAGTGAAAAAGAAAGAAAACATAGATTTAAAAATAAAATAAAATAAATAAGTGATGTTTCATTTAAAATGTGATGTGGATGATGATATGTCATTTTTGTCAAGCCTTGAAGTTCAGACGCAACGAAAGGGGTTTAAAATGCTTAGTTTAATTGAGTTTAAGGGTTGAATTGACAAATGATCGAGTAGAATGGTCCAGAATACAAACTCATACAACTACAATGGTCTATTTGACAATTCCGCCTATATAAATATGTATTTTAACTTGGTTTTAACTTGTATCTATGTCCTTAAATTTTGGGTCTGCACAAATATATATCTAAATTTGTATAAAATTAAACAAGTAAATACATGTGTCCTATGTAGTATCCTACGAGGCCAATTTGCGTCCTACATGACATTTTATGTGTATTATGTCACGTAGGACGTGTGTGTATACTTGTTTGATTTTATACAAATTTAATTGTCTAGTTGTGCACACACAAAATTGGAGGACATTAATGTCAACTTAGCTAAAATTAAATAACATATTTATGTATTATGTCATTTTTATTAATAGGCAATCACATGGCAATGCAGTGATGTTTCTTTATTACCTTTTCAGTTAATAGTTTATTATATTTATTTTTAAATTTAAAATAATTTAACTTAAACTTTTATTTACTAGTTTCTTTGGTCTAAAATAATTATATTTGAATAATTTTTTATGGTCCAAAATGGGAGTATTCACGGGTCGAGTTCGGTTTAAATTTAAAATTAAATCAATTTAAACAATTTTTAAATTATTAAGATCGAACCAAATTAAATATAATTCATATTCGTAGATTTGATTGTTGACAGTTTGATTCATTTTTAAATTATTAATAAAAAATATATGTTTTCGAAAACTCAGTCGCCTTCTTTAATTTGATGAAGGTGTTACCCCGTTCCGTCAATGTTACTTGCATTTTCATTCCTAATATCTTTAGGACTAATCAATAGCTACATTTAGCGCAATTCGTTTGACAAGATTAATCAATTCAAAATGAGACAATGCATTATGAACCATGAGAACACACAAAAGCTCAAAGGTTTATTGTCTTTATAGTAATATAACAACCGCAAGTTGACCAGTCATATATCAACTTGCTACATATATACATAGTTTCAATCGTTCTTGCTCGATTTGTAAATTCAAGTTTTTGACAATGAAGTAAGTAGCAGCAGCAACTACATTGAGCAATCAGGAGGGGGATAAAGAGTTGGCAACGTCAATCACAAATCGGTACTTAACATCAGATTTTGCAAGTCGTTCCATGGCCATATTGATGTTGTCCACTGAAATCAGCGTAACGTTGTGCTTTGCACAAGCAACAACTAAGCTTAATCATATATTATTAAAAGTGGGAAGCTTTTAACTTCAAAGTTGGATTACCATTTTACCCCTACTATAAGTTAAAATGTTATAAAATATTTAATTAGTCAAATATTAGAATTCTCAATAAGTTTTCTCTAATAAATATTTGTATTCATAACCGAATTTTTATGCAACCTATAATTACAATATTTAATATGTATTAACCTCTCACAATTGAATTATTATTATTAATAATAATAATTCAATTGTGAGAGGTTAATACATATTAAATATTGTAATTATAGGTTGCATAAAAATTCGGTTATGAATACAAATATTTATTAGAGAAAACTTATTGAGAATTCTAATATTTGACTAATTAAATATTTTATAACATTTTAACTTATAGTAGGGGTAAAATGGTAATCCAACTTTGAAGTTAAAAGCTTCCCACTTTTAATAATATATGATTAAGCTTAGTTGTTGCTTGTGCAAAGCACAACGTTACGCTGATTTCAGTGGACAACATCAATATGGCCATGGAACGACTTGCAAAATCTGATGTTAAGTACCGATTTGTGATTGACGTTGCCAACTCTTTATCCCCCTCCTGATTGCTCAATGTAGTTGCTGCTGCTACTTACTTCATTGTCAAAAACTTGAATTTACAAATCGAGCAAGAACGATTGAAACTATGTATATATGTAGCAAGTTGATATATGACTGGTCAACTTGCGGTTGTTATATTACTATAAAGACAATAAACCTTTGAGCTTTTGTGTGTTCTCATGGTTCATAATGCATTGTCTCATTTTGAATTGATTAATCTTGTCAAACGAATTGCGCTAAATGTAGCTATTGATTAGTCCTAAAGATATTAGGAATGAAAATGCAAGTAACATTGACGGAACGGGGTAACACCTTCATCAAATTAAAGAAGGCGACTGAGTTTTCGAAAACATATATTTTTTATTAATAATTTAAAAATGAATCAAACTGTCAACAATCAAATCTACGAATATGAATTATATTTAATTTGGTTCGATCTTAATAATTTAAAAATTGTTTAAATTGATTTAATTTTAAATTTAAACCGAACTCGACCCGTGAATACTCCCATTTTGGACCATAAAAAATTATTCAAATATAATTATTTTAGACCAAAGAAACTAGTAAATAAAAGTTTAAGTTAAATTATTTTAAATTTAAAAATAAATATAATAAACTATTAACTGAAAAGGTAATAAAGAAACATCACTGCATTGCCATGTGATTGCCTATTAATAAAAATGACATAATACATAAATATGTTATTTAATTTTAGCTAAGTTGACATTAATGTCCTCCAATTTTGTGTGTGCACAACTAGACAATTAAATTTGTATAAAATCAAACAAGTATACACACACGTCCTACGTGACATAATACACATAAAATGTCATGTAGGACGCAAATTGGCCTCGTAGGATACTACATAGGACACATGTATTTACTTGTTTAATTTTATACAAATTTAGATATATATTTGTGCAGACCCAAAATTTAAGGACATAGATACAAGTTAAAACCAAGTTAAAATACATATTTATATAGGCGGAATTGTCAAATAGACCATTGTAGTTGTATGAGTTTGTATTCTGGACCATTCTACTCGATCATTTGTCAATTCAACCCTTAAACTCAATTAAACTAAGCATTTTAAACCCCTTTCGTTGCGTCTGAACTTCAAGGCTTGACAAAAATGACATATCATCATCCACATCACATTTTAAATGAAACATCACTTATTTATTTTATTTTATTTTTAAATCTATGTTTTCTTTCTTTTTCACTTCATTCCTCTTTCATCCCTTCACCTCTCTCCATATTTTTTACATTAGAGATACCACCACAACCTTCCATTCTCACTAGTATCATTACATTCCTAAATAACTAACAATTATCATTTAATTTTATTTTATTTTGAAATTTCTTTCATTCACAACTTTTAATCGTATTTCTTTTACCAACATTTACATCTACCACTTGAACTGCCATAAGTCTCTTTTCTCAATTGATGTTAACGAATAACCAATTAAATAAATCAATATACTCTAATATTTGTACACAATTTTACATAACACATTTCACCTAATTTCACAAAGACATTCAACAATTACTTTTCATCTTTTAAAACTGTTGAATCTTTATCACTTTATGGGTTATAAATTACCCCAAAAATAAAAAGAAAATACAGATCTAAACAACAACACAATTTCGTTTCTAATCCTGGGAGAAAGAAAATGTGGGGAAAAAAGAGAAACAAGAAATTGGAAAGGGCTGGAAAGGGGAGAAAGAAGAGAAATGGGGGTTTGAGATTAGAAAGAAAAAAACAAATG